ATCTGTATGCTGAACAAATAATCCAAGAAGGTGGACTGTATAAAGAACAATGCAGCATCAGGATTGGAGGAACACTCTTTAACAACCTATGATATGCAGATGACACAACCTTGCATGTAAAAAATGAAGACAATTTACTAAGGAAGGTCAAAGACTATAGCCTTCAGTATGGATTATGCCTGAATGTGAAGAAAATGAAGATCCTCACAACTAGACCAATAAACAATATCATGATAAATGAAGAAGAAATTGAAGTTGTAAGTGATTTCATTCTACTTGGATCAACAATCAGTTACCATGGAAGCAGCAGTCAAGAAATCAAATGCTATATTGCATTGGGTAAAAGCTGTAAAAGACCTCTTTAAAGTACTAAAAAGCAAAGATGAAACTTTGATGATTAAGGTGCACCTGACCCAAGCCATGGTCTTTATAATCACCTCATCTGCATGCAAAAGCTAGGTAATGAAAAAGGAAGACAGAAGAAGAATTGATGCATTTAAATTGTGGTGTTGGTGGAGAACGTTGAATATAGCATGGACTGCCAGAAGAACGAACAAATCAGTCTTGGAAGAAATACAACCAGAGTGCTCTGTAGAAGTGAGGTTGATGAGACTTTGGGTTGCTTACTTTGAACATGTCATCAGGAAAGACCGATTGCTAGGAAACATCATGTTTGGTAAAGTAGAGGGTCAATAGAAATGAGGGTAACCATCAATGAGATGGATTGACACAATAGCCACAACAATGGATTCAACCATAGCAACAATCATGAAGATGGTACAAGATTGGGTAACGTTTTGTTCTATTATACCTAAGATTGCCACAAGTCAGATCCAGCTGGGCAGCAACTAACAACAACAAAACAATACTATACACTACAAGCTTCACTCTGATTTCACTAGATTGTCCACTAATGTCTTCTCCGTCTCCTCTGGGTCTGTGACACTTTCTGTCTTCCCTTGTTTTTCATGACCTTGACAGTTTTGAGGAGTGCTGGTCACATGTTTTGTCAGATGCCCTTCAATTTGGGTTTGTCGGATGTTTTCTCATGATTAGACTGGAGTTATGGGTTTGGGGGGAGATTACCACCGATTTAATGTTCTCTTTTCATTGCATCATATCACAGGGTATTTGGTGTCGATACCTCTACTTAACCTTGCTCGCTTGGTTATGGTGGTGTCTACCAGCTTTCTCCACTGTAAAGCTAATATTTTTCACTTTCCATTCTCTATAAGCAGTAGAGAATGGAAAGTACTGAGTCTAGCCCACTCAAGGGGAGGAGAATTAAATTCTGCCACCTGGAAGTGGAGGTATTTACATATATTATTTGGAATTAATTCTGTAAAGAAGACTTGTCCCTTCTCCCTATTTATTTATTTGCTTCTTTATTTATTTATTCAGTTGTTTATATCAGTATGGACTCATGGATTTTATTTTTTGGGTTATAATTCAACACTGTCATTTTATTTGTAAAATTGTTCAAGCTTTGACCATTGGAAGCCCTTAAAGGTGGGCTTTTGACATCTCCCCATTCTCACTGCACATTTTTATAAGTGAAAGCTGATATTTGTGTTGGGAGATTGAAAGATGTGCTTTCAAGAAGGTTAATATGGCAGAAATTTTGAGGATGGATTTGAGGGAGGAAATATTGGTAGCAGAGAGATGGGTTAGGACTGCTAAGGCAGTTCAGACAGGTGGTGTTGAGGGCTTGAACTAAGGTGATGGGAAAAGAAATGAGTACTTAGTTTCTAGATAAATTATAGAGCTGGAATTGACAGGAATTGGCTCTTAAGATGCAGGAATTAGAGATCATGTACAGGCAAGTCAGGCATAGTCAGCTGTTTTTGGTGAGTTGCTTAATACCATTTCAGACATTGCCCAAGACTTCCCACCTCTCTGTCTTTGTTCATACCATCTCAACATCCCCAGTCTAATCCTATCCATCCTTTAAGGTCCAGCTTATATTCCCTGTTTTCAGAAGCCACCTTCAGGTGCCCCCAAGTGGGGGAAGTGCCAAACTTTTGTAGAAGTTAAAGCCCGTATCTCAGAATGGATCATTATTGTTTACTACCTAATATTGTTTATCTTTCATGTGCATCTTCTCAATCCAGCTAGATAGTGCCTTATATATACTGAATGGATCATTTTGAGTTGAGTTTTTGTTTGTCTTCAGTAGATACAACATCCAATTAGGTAAACTACATTCCTTAATTGTCTATAAATTGCTCCAGGTTTAAAAAAAAAAAAAAAGACCTGTATTTACCTACTGTTTCTTAGACAGCAGCTGTTTAGTTTAGTTTTTTTTTTTTTTTTTTAGCCTTTAAGATTTTATCAGTAATGTTTTTGGGGAAAATAATCACTGCACAAAGATTTGCATTATAAGACAGTTCAAGTCTTAGACTTCTGCAACAACAGTTCTCGTCAGTGTGTGATAATGTTCTAGTTTCTTTTTATAGTTTACTGGTAGGTCCTTGGATTGTGAAACACAAGGAACTAGTCCTGTTCTTTGAGGTACTGACATCTAAATGGTGAAATTGTTTGCATAATGTTCCAGGTCTCATTGAAGAAGTTTGCACCACAGCCACAGGAATGGTTACAGTTTATAAATCAGGGTCCTAGAAAGCAGTACTTGTGGTTTTCTTTAATCCCCCAAATTAGACAATTCAAAGAAGCTTTTACACAGAATGCTGCAGTCAGTGTTTATATATGTGACTGGCATCTCAATTCTCTTTTAAATGGGCTGTCTCTTTCTGAGTAAAGAACTTATTTACTTCCATAACTATATTTCCATGACTCTTAAAACAGTTAAGACCCATTTAAAGTACTTACATATAATTGCATATATAATTTTCTTTAATAGTTTTCCCTTGAAGTTTTTGCATGGAATAATACTAATATTTCAAAATATGATCAGAGATGCCAAAAATCCTTTTTAGAATATAAACAGTTGAACTTGTCAGAAGTAAATCATAAGTGTAGTTCAAATAGTTTCAAATATTTGATAATGTTTTTGAGCTCACTCCAGTAAGGAAAGCAGTTGGAATATATTAAGACACATCATTTTAGAATATTTTTATAGCATCATTATAAACATCAGTATTATCACATTATGTGGTTTTAAAGGATTTGATGACATAAAGTGTTGTAGTGTAGGTTTACAGTTATTCCCATTTTGCAGGGGGTTTCCTCCTGCAAGTCAGGAAAGTTACTTGTCCATGACCACCCAACTAGTAAGAACCAGGGCCCTATTGCCTGCTACATGAGCTATAAGCAAGACTGCATACTCCCTGATAGCCAGAGCTCTGTTTTGCTTGTCACTTTATACCTGTGCCTAGCATACATATGTGCATTGGGCAGATCTGCTGCAAAAGATCTTTTCAAAGTGTTAAAAAACAAAGATGTCACTTTAAGGATTAAGGTACGTCTGACTCAAGCCATGGAGTTTTCAGTCGCCTCATATGCATGTGAAAACTGGACAATGAATAAGGAAGACTGAAGAAGAA